TATAATATAAATATTAAAAATACTGCTTAAAATAACTGCAGTGGACAACATGCTATTCAGAGGGAATAGCTACGTGCCATAGCTCGAAGAAACTTAAGCACTTTTTAGACTGATGAGCTACTCGCGTCGAAAAGACATGCTTTACTGTCTCAACGCGCCCTTGACAAGAAACCTGCGACTAGACTCTAGTAGAGACGAACAACTAGCAAAGTATAGGATTCGGGGAAAACATTCTATCGTTTATTACGCGTTATAAAGATCAACCCATTCGGATGAACGAACTGGAGCTTCCAGCTACATCAAGAGTTGGCAAGAACGGACTAAACATTTCTCTGTCTCGCTGTCCGACTCTGTAGTCTTTCATAAAATAGTGTAACCATGCTTAAGGCATTCAGATATAGTGAAATGACCTAACCCTGGTTGAAGACTTATGATTAGTTCCATTTGTGTCTTGTACCTTTTTTACGAACAATCCTCGAACATAGCTTTCAGCAAAATCTTATATTCGTTATTCAAAACCCAACTAAAACAATGAGCACAAATTTTCCAAAAGTAATATGTGTAAAGTGTAATCTTTCTGGTCGATAACGAACTCATAAATTTTTAATCCTATTTGATAATATTTCCCTAATGCATCAGTCAATTCCAGCAGTGCCCATTCCCCCCCTCCCCCCGGGCAACCGCGGGGCATTTGCTCACGTTGTCAGTCCCGGGGGTGGGGCATCCGCAATTATATCACGGCCCGGGGGCTGGGCATTTGCGTACCCCGGGGCGACCCCCGGGCATTCGACACACGTGTTTTGGAAAGTGCCACGGATGAGTTCATCGGGAAAGACGAGGCGTTTGTCGAACAATGGCTTGTCCGTCAGGGACTAGAGAAACTTGCAGATGTTTTTGAAGGTATGTTTTCTCAATTTCAGATATTTCTTCATTACTTGTAAGCATATAAATGTAAGCGACAAGGTGAACTATATTTTGTTCATTACAAAACAATCACTGACGTGAACACGACTATTTCGCATTTCGCATTCAAAACTAGCCTAGCATTTTTTAA